CCCACAAAAACGACAATCACATCAGTGTTCGGGTGGAGGGGCTGGAGTTGGAGTAACCTTGCAACATCTGTCTTTTTGCAGAACTTAGCAGTATTTTTCAGACACAATACAATTATTTTTGATTTAAGATTCCTCTAGTTATTTTAGTTTTATCTCACATAAGCATTAATTATTTTGGTTAATACATCTGGACCATGGTCAGGGTCACAGACAGTCCCTAAATGTTGCCAGGGTGGATGTAGCTATGCCGGCATGGGGGTGCAGGGTGGGGGGGTGGGGGTGGGGGTCTATTTAAGCAGACATAAAATGGAGTCAGAACAAGATGGCATTACCTTAGTCACTTCATATCATCATTCAGGTGATAAATCTACAGATGACTGCCATTGAAAAAGCAATTCAGGATGCTCGGTAGTGGTGCAATGTTTTAATCCCAGTACTCAGGAGGCAGAGGCAGGCTGATCTCTGTGAGTTCAGTTCAAGGCCAGCTGGGTCTGTAGAGCAAGTTCCAGGACAGCCAGGGCTACACAGAGAAACCCTGTTTTTTTGTTTTTTTTAAAGCAAGGGCGAGCAGTTCAAACCTGCTTAGTGGGTGGCTTTTAATGCACTGAGGAGACAAAGGCAGGCAGATCTCTCTCCCTCATTGGTCCTGTCCCCCTTCAGTTAGCAAATTGTAAGGGATCCAATATCCTTGGGGGAGGAGAGCAGGGAACAGCTCCTCCTTAAGGAACCAGTCAGTCCCTGTTTTCCATACTGGCCCAACTACCCCTGACCCTCCTTCACCCAGAACCCACATTAAAGAAAAAAAAGCCGGGCGCTGGTGGCGCACACCTTTAATCCCAGCACTCGGGAGGCAGAGGCAGGCGGATCTCTGTGAGTTCAAGGCCAGCCTGGTCTACAGAGCGAGTTCCAGGACAGCCAGGGCTACACAGAGAAGCCCTGTCTCAAAAAAACAAAACCAAAAACAACAAAAATGCACATTTGCATTCCCAGCACTCGAGAAGTTGGAGATAAGCAGGTAGCCAGCCAAACAACCTAAGCAGTGAACCCTAGGACAATGAGGGACCCCTAGCTCACAAAACAAGGGAACATTAGCCTGTAATCAAGGCCTGGAACTGGTTTATTATTATGTGGTGATACATCAGTTGCTGCTTCGATAAGTGGTGGAGTTTGAGTTGTAGGGCTTGTATTACTAGATTGAAGGCATGGAGCCTCACCTTTTGCTAGATCTGAATTAAATTGTTTGATTTGGTTCTTCAAATTGAAACCAGTGAAAGTATCCAAACCGGCTTTGAATCCAAGTATGTGATTTTTTGAAAATTTAGTTCTATTTTATGGATGCATGAATATATAATTTTTTTTTTTGGTTTTTCGAGATAAGGTTTCACTGTGTAGCTTTGCACCTTTCCTGGAACTCACTTTGTAGCCCAGGCTGGCCTCGAACTCCCCAGAGATCCGCCTGGCTCTGCCTCCCAAGTGCTGAGATTAAAGGTGTGCGCCCGGGGTACCAATATAATTTAACATGTACTAGTATTAAAATGCTGTGTACCTATAATGATTTAACCTTCCCTTTAGTCTTCTCTCGTGGCTTGCTTATAGAATGGTAAGTAATCTGGAAGAGGACTGTGTTCCCTACATGTGGTATTTACTTAGTAATTAAAGTCCAGAATTCTTTATTTTTAATCTTTTTTTTTTAAGATTTTTTTTTAAATGTACATTTGGGTTTTGCCTGCATGTATGTCTGTGTGAGGATGCCAGATTCCCTGCAACTGGAGTTACAGACAATTGCGAACTGCCATATGGGTGCTGGGCACTGAACCTGGGTCCTTTGGAAGAGCAGCGAGTGCCCTTAGCTACTGAGCCGTGTCTCCAGCCCCCAGAATTCCCTTTTTGCCCTTGGACATGAGGCCACCAGAGCAGCAGGATTTTTTCTTTTGCTATTATTTCCTTTAGGTTCATAGGTGCTGTAAGTTGCTGGTGTGTCTCCCATCCCCCACTCCTGACTTTTACCCTCAAAGATGCAGGTTTTCCACTGTGGCCTGTGAGGATTCTCATCTCCCCAGTGAATGAGACAGGCTGAAAATTCCAGCCTCATCTACCGCCTCACCAAGTTAGTGGGTGGTCAGAATGTGAGTCTCCTGCAATCCGCCAGTCCTTATACCTGGCCAGCATCTACCTGACAGCTGCTCACTGGAGCTTACCCTTTCCCTTCTGTCTCTCTGGGACAAACCACTGGAGCACAGACGGAGCCTTGAAAGTAGACTCAATCTGACTGTATTAGTAGCTCCGTTTCAAAATGACCAACAGTACCACGTGGACACCCTCACTGGGATATGAACACTGGAAATCCTTGGGTTCTGGGAAGAATTCAGACCTTTTTTATACCCCTCCAGTTTAGCTGGGGAATGGGTAAGATTGGACCAAGACAACACAACAGGTCTCAGTGGACAGCAACACAGACACATCAGCAAACCCCAGAACCTTCCCATATGGTCTCAGCCGGGTGGGAGGACCAGATATAAGCCAAAATGAGTCTGATCCCATCTTGTTATGCCTCTCAAACCAGGGGCATACACTTCCATGATATGACAAGGATTTATTTTCCTCTAACTTGAACTTCAAGTGTCTCCCTGGAGCCTGACCTTGATGGAGCTGCAGAATTTGTGGCTGTGGAAGATACCCTTATGAGTGGTTTTTTTTTTTTTGGTGGGGGGAGGGGGTTTCGAGACAGGGTTTCTCTGTGTAGCTTTGGAGCCTGTCCTGGAACTCACTCTGTAGACCAGGCTGGCCTCGAACTCACAGAGATCTACCTGGCTCTGCTTCCCGAGTGCTAGGATTAAAGGCATGCACCACCACTGCCTGGCCTTTTTTTTTTTTTGGTTTTTTTTTTTTTTTTTTTTTTTTTTTTTGGTTTTTTGAGACAGGGTTTCTCTGTGTAGCTTTGGAGCTTGTTCTGGAACTCACTCTGTAGCCCAGGCTGGCCTTGAACTCACAGAGATCCGCCTGCCTCTGCCTCCCAAGTGCTGGGACTAAAGGTGTGCACCCTTATGATTCTTGACTGACTTGATAGCCACTACCTACCAAAGCCTTTCCCCAGAACTTTTCTTTGCAGTGTGCCAGTCCACCATGACACAGAAGAGGCAGTACAGAAACAAACACAGAGACACATACATGAAGTAACAGAATCAGTTTGTATTTCTTCACACGTAAGAGAAAAGACAGCAACCGCAGGCCAAGGGCACTGGCCTGTATAATACACACCTGCTCAAGCAGTGGGCAGGGAAAAAGACAAAACAACTAAACCAGACAAAAACCCAAATAGCAAAAACAACTAGGCCGGCATCGCTGCCAACGCTCGGTGGGGTCATGCTGTAACTAAGAGGTCCTTCGTGTAGCCTGTCTGTACAGTGGATGCCAGCTACGGGGGTCTTCTCCTGAGCAAAGGGCTTGTGAGCTGTCCCATAGGGAGGTAGACACCAGGGTGTTGTACAAATCTGGATGCATCACACTGAAAACCTGGAAGGAGGCAGAAGTAGAAAACGTGTGTCCACCTTCACTAATCCAATTTGTATTAAAATGGAAACTACAACAACATGGAATTGTAATAATCCACTACAATTCACTAACTAGTACCTCAACATCAATTGTAAATGCGAGACTATGGTGTTAGTCAGATTTCTGTTATTAGAGTAAATAACTGATATAATCAGGCTAAAAAGAGAATACGTTCATTTGACTCACAGTTTGCACAGTTCCAATCCACTGGTTGCTTGTTCCTGTTGCAATTGGGACTGTGGTCAGGTAGCACAGCATGAAAGGGAGCGGTCAACTCATGGTCAAAAGAAGAGAACAGGGGTATCACAATCTACTTTCAGGCTCACACTGCTAGTGCTCTAGTCCCCCTCCTACCCTGCTCGCCATTTCCAACATCTCCCAATAATGCAGACTCCTTCTGTAGCTGAAGGAGACTTTGAACTCCCATCATCCCCTCTCCTTTCCCAAGTTCTGACATTACAGGCATGTGCGCCCATGCCCAGCAAGTTCACAAGTTCTTTACAATTACCATTCTTTGTCCCATGTTTAAAGTTTCCAATACAGATTTTAAAATGTTTCTTCCATGAAACAGAGCCTGTAAGGTATCTTTTAGAAAGCACCATGACGTGAATTTTTTGGCAAAAAAAAAAAGTGTTTAAAAGTGAAGTCTCTACATTAAAAGTGAGTTTACAAACAACCTTCTTTTCTTTTCTTTCTTTCTTTCTTTCTTTCTTTTTTTTTTGGTTTTTCAAGACAGGGTTTCTCTTTGTTGTTTTGGTGGCTGTCCTGGATCTCACTCTGTAGACCAGGCTGGCCTTGAACTCACAGAGATCATCCTGCCTCTGCCTCCCGAGTGCTGGGATTAAAGGCATCACCACCACCGCCCGACTCAAACTTATTTTCTTAATCCCAGTGACAAAATAATAGGAAAACAGACAGCAAACATTAAATCAGTAAAAATGCCATGCTGAGCCGAGGCGATGGTAGCACACATCTTTAATCCCAGTACTCGGGAGGCAGAGGCAGGCGGATCTCTGTGAGTTCGAGGCCAGCCTGGTCTACAGAGTGAGATCCAGGACAGGCACCAAAATGACACAGAGAAACCCTGTCTTGAAAAACCAAACAACAACAACAAAAACCAAACAACAACAACAACAAAAGAAGTGTCATGCTGAAGACACAATAAGTAAGTACTCTATAAACGTCACAAGCTAACCTGAACTTCTCTATTTTAGAAGTGGTACCATTACCATCACAAGGCATCAGTAATCATTCTATGAGGATCTTGCATGATGTCACGACACCAGTAGCACAGAGAACAACTATGGTGTGTGTGTGTGTGTGTGTGTGTGTGTAACATATATATTTAATATATATTGAATAATTTATATATGTATAAATCATGAAGAACACCTCTTATTTTAAGGCATGTTAAGAGTTCTTACTATACTGAAGGCTAATGGCTTCAGTCATACATCCTACTGGAGACAGTTTCTTCCCATAATATAGTAATTCTTACCTTTTAGAATTGAATAATGTCTCTTCAGGATTGATGTCAGTTACAAAAACAGGTTAACTTCAAAATATGATGACAACATACAAAAGTAGCAAAAAAATTGTAGTCTTTGTGAGTTTATGCTGCAATTTATGGAGGACTGGCCTTGAACCTCTAGTACGTTGCTTTCCAAAACATCTACCACTGGAAGCCATTGCAGACAGCAGAATCTCAACCAAGAAGAAAACTGTCAACAACTTATCTCAAAGATGCGATGCAACATTCAACTTCACAGTTCTTGGAATCCCAAGGAATTTAAAAAGTCCATGTCTTCTATCCCACTGTCCCAAGCTGTACCTATAAATGCTAGTATGCCAGGTGCAGGATACAGGTGTGTCAGAAACAGTACAAAGTCTAATGATTCTACGTTTTCTAGAACTCTTCAGTAAAATGCAGTTCTGCAGAGGCCTTCTTACTTTCATACTAGCCCTAGCCAGTCACATTCAGAGGAGAAAGCACAATACTGTAATACAGGATTAGCAAATCACCCTGCATCCCAGCATCCCCTACTATACAGTGGACTTCTTGTAAAGTTTGAAAGTCCTTCAGCAACTGACCACCGCACGTGATATCTACCCGATAAGCTTCAACAAGACCCATTTTTCTTTTGAGAAATTTTTCTATCTGTCCAATGGTTGTATTTCTTGAGATTTGCACAAACTTCATTTTCAGTGGTTTAAAATGCTCAGTGTCTGCATTAGTGCCCATAGACTCTAGCATTAAAGAAATACTAGGTTCATGTGAACTAAGGCACAATTCCACAAGTTCCTCAGTGTTCCCTTCGATTGAAGGGCCTGGCTGTGGAACAGCATCAGGTTTTGGTGTTTCTGGACAATTTTCTTTATAAAATTCCTGCCTTTGTTTTTTTTCTTTTTCCTCTAGACCTGCCACTAATTTGTACACTATGTTTTGTAATTGTGGATCCGACCTCAGGTGATTAAGAGGTTTGGCCTCGTGCACTACAATGTTGCATTTTGGACACCTATAGCTATGTTCAAAATGTTTTATGATGCAGCTTTTACAGAAGGTATGAAGACATTCTGTAACGGTTGTTGCATCTATTAAATAACCTTTGCAAACAGAACAGGAGATGTACGGAGTCAGCTCCGAGAGAGAAACGAGGCGCTCCTCCCGACTGGCCCCTTCCCTCTCCCGGTTAGGAAGCCTGGATCCTGACCGGTCTTGAGTCCTTTTCTTGCTCTGGGCAGACCGGCCCTGCCTGGCAATTGAGTGTGCTGTGGCAGTTACAGCAGGCGGGGCCTGGAGTGGGGGTGACAAGGCCGTTGCTCCTTCCACTCTGACAGCATCCAGGCTGCCCTCTGGATCCACTAGGTCACTTTCCATGGCTGATGGGGCAGAGCACAAATCTGTGGAGAAGAGATAAACGAGGAAGCGAAACCACACGGGCAGGCGAGACCGAGACGAGGCGAGACCGAGATGGAGGAGACCGAGACGAGGCGAGACCGAGATGGAGGAGACCGAGACGAGGCGAGACCGAGATGGAGGAGACCGAGACGAGGCGAGACCGAGATGGAGGAGACCGAGACGAGGCGAGACCGAGATGGAGGAGACCGAGACGAGGCGAGACCGAGATGGAGGAGACCGAGACGAGGCGAGACCGAGATGGAGGAGACCGAGACAAGGTGAGACCAAGACGAGACGACCTAGACCAAGACGAGGCAAGCTGACCTTGCTGCGAGGCTAGACCGAGAGGCGGTGAGACCCAAGAGGAGGCAAACTGACCTTGATGCGAGGCTAGACCGTGGGGCCAGATGAGACCTCGAGTTGAAAACCTTGAGACTCGGAGACTCCGGAGGCTGAGCACAAAGCCAAGCAGAACAGAGCAGAGTGGCGACAGGAGGGCGACGATGTCCGGCGCTAGACCGGAAGTGCAGAGAGCAAGCGAGCCGAGCACGGAGACTAACCTGCACGCCACTAGGCAAAGGAAGGAGAAGAAGCCAAGCACGGAGTAGGCGAGGCAATGTAGGCAGCCAATGAGGAAGGTCTGCAGGGTAGGGAAAATGTCGTCTAAGCCAATCACAAGTTGCAATGCTCAGGGCCCGCGCCTTTTCAAAGGCTTCTTGCTTCACCAAGGGGAGGAGTATGTGTGTATGGGGGCGGACGAGCGAGCGGTGAGGGGGGGCGGGGGGCAGTGGGGGGGCGGGGGGATGGGGGGGCGGACGAGCGAGCAGTGAGGGGGGGCGGGGGGGGCGGGGGAGGCGGCTGGGAGGAGTGAAGGGATGGGAAGCTGTGGACCGTCTGTATTGTATGAGAGAAGAATAAATAAAAAATAAAATAAGGCCTGGCGGCCGTGGCACACGCCTTTAATCCCAGCACTCAGGAGGCAGAGCCAGGAGGAGCTCTGTGAGTTCGAGGCCAGCCTGGTCTACAGAGCGAGATCCAGGACAGGCACCAAAACTACACAGAGAAACCCTGTCTTGAAAAACCAAAAAATAAAATAAAATAAAATACTACTGAAATCGCATTTCAGCCTGAGATTCTGTTTTCCTCAATTTACGTGCACACGGTGAAACTGAATCTCATGTGATATTGCATTAGGAATAATAATAATTTTCGGGCTGGAGAGATGGCTCAGTGGTTAAGAATACTGGCTATACTTCCAGAGGACCCGGGTTAAATTCCCAGCACCCACAGAACAGCTCAAAACTGTTACTCCAGTTCCAGGACCTTCCCACCAACATGGATGCACGCAAAACACCAATGAACATAAAATAAATAAATAAATGAATGAATGAATGAATGAATGAATGAATGAATAAATAAATAAATAAATAAATAAATAAATAAATAAATAAATAAATATTGCTGGGTGGTGTGGCACTCACCTTTTTTTTTTTTTTTTTTTAAACAGGGTTTCTCCGTGTAGTTTTGTTGCCTGTCTTGGAACTTACTCTGTAGACCAGGCTGGCCAGGCGTGTGCCATCACCGCCCGCCCCAGTGCTCACCTTTAATCCCAGCATTTGGGAGGCAGAGGCAGGTGGATCTCTGTGAGTTCAATGCCGAGGCCAGCCTGGTCACAAAGTGAGTTCCAGGAAGGCCAGAGCTGTTACACAGAGAAACCCTGTCTTGAACATCCCCCCAAAAAACAAAAATAAATAAATAAATAAATCTTTAAAAAACAATCAAAAAAAAAAAAAGAAAGAAAGAAAGAATGATTTCTGATTGAGCACCAAATATGTGCTCCTCCGGTGAATCACGTTTATCCAAGATTATTTTAGTTAGGAAGTATGATGTTCCTGTTTTGAAACTTGTAAATGTACTTATTTGGAAGAATGATATATTGGCACAGGATGGAAATCTAACTGCTATTTGAGGACCGCCTACATAAGCCTTTTCTTTTTCTTTTTTGGGGACAGTGTTTTTCTCTAAAGCCCAGGCTGGCCTGGTACTCATGATGTGCTCCAGACTGGTCTTGAACTTGAGGTACTCTTACCTCACCCTCCAATGCTCTAGGATTGACAGGTATGTGCCACCACACACAACCTTGTTTCTTTTTTTTTTTCTTCTTTTCTTTCTTTATTTTTGGTTTTTGTTTTGTTTGTTTTGTGTTGTTTTTTTTCGAGACAGGGTTTCTCTGTGTAGTGCTGGCGCCTGTCCTGGACCTGCTCTGTAGACCAGGCTGGCCTTGAACTCATAGAGATCCACCTGCCTCTGCCTCCCGAGTGCTGGGATTAAAGGTTTATGCCAACACCGCCTGGCAGCATTTATGGTTTTAACTGGTCTATTTTGGTTTCTGATGCATTTTTAGTTCCTTGTATTTGAGACTGTGTGTGTGTGTGTGTGTGTGTGTGTGTGTGTGTGTGTGTGTGTGTGTGTTTCCCCGTTTGGGTGCACTAGAGATTGATATCAGATGCCTTCCTCCATCACATTCTACTTTAGTTTTTGAGACAAGGCACATCACTGAACCTGAAGCTCACAGGTCCAGTGACACTGCTTGGCCATTGACTCTGGGCTCCACCTGTCTCTGCCTCCCCAGCAATGTTATTACAGATGTGTGCCATCATGTTCTTATGTGGATGCTGGAGATCTGAATCAGGTCCTGTGCTTGGACAGCAAGCACTTTGCCTATAAGCCATCTTCCTGGCCCTTGAGTTCCTTTTTTTCTTTTCTTTTCTTCTCTTTTCTTTCTTTCTTTTTCTTTTCTTTTCTTTTCTTTCTTTTTTTTTTTTTTTTTATTTTTCGAGACAGGGTTTCTCTGTGTAGTTTTGGTGCCTGTCCTGGAACTCACTTGGTAGTCAGGCTGGCCTCAAACTCACAGAGATCCACCTGCCTCTGCCTCCCAAGTGCTGGGATTAAAGACATGCACCACCACTGCCCGGCTTGAGTTTAATTTTTCATGTCATGGCAAATAAGGACCCTACCTCACTCTTTTGTATGTGCACATGCAGCTTAGCCAAAAACCTTTGTGTTTGAAAAGAGTATTCTTTTCCCATTAATTTGTCATGGCACTCTAGTTAAAAATTACCTGACCACTCCTATGAGGGTTAATTTCTGGGTTGTTTATGCTAGCTATACTAACTACTTTTAGTGGTTCTCACTGTATCAAGTTTAATGTACAATTGCTGAACATTTAAGTTTAACTTTTCCTTCTTTGTGTTATTACACCTAGACCAAATTCAGAATATTTAAGAGCAAAGAGGTACTATGCATTGGCTACAGCTGATGAGATGTTTTCCTTCTCCTTACTCAGAAACCAGAGCTTCACCAAGTTCTCTCTCAAATCACACTACAAAATATGCTCTCTCAGCCTGGCCGTGGTGGCACATGCATTTAATCCTAGCACTGTGGGGAGTGGGAGTGGGCCCAGGCAGACTGATCTCTGTGAGTTCAAGGCCAGCCTAGTCCACAGAGTGAGTTCCAGGACAGCCAGAACTGTTACACAGTGAAAACCTGTCTGGAGAAAAACAAAAACAACTATCTCTTTTCCTTCCTCTGTGTATGTGCGTGTGCGTGTGTGCGCGCACCTGTGTGTGTGTGTGTGTGTGTGTGTGTGTGTGTTTCCACACTGCAGGTGGATCCAGGACATTCTACAAGATAGGACTGAACTACATCCCAGCCCTCACTTCTTTACTAAATCTAACATTTAATTTCTTGATGCATATTCTTAAGCACTGTTTTCTGTCAAAGGTTTCTGGCTTTCCATGTTGAAAGATCCTGCCGACATTTCTAAAGAGCCAGTCTCCAAACCTTCATGTGGAACTTCCTCAAGGACAAGAATCATCACCGTCTGACCAGCATTCCTTGCTGCTGTCTTAAGTCTCCAACTTGTCCCTTGTGCCCTCTTGCTGATGGAATTTGCTGAGGGCGATCCTTCATGCACCCAGAGTGTACAGCTTGACCTCAGATAATAGTGAACCCAACTTGTGGACATTCTCCACATTGTCTGTAGACACACCGGGTGGGCCCATACACATTGGTTGGCCTCTAGTCATCAGGGCAGCTGTTTGGCCATCCTTCCAAGCTCCTTTCAGTGTCTGCAGAAAGTTGCTAAGGAGTGGGGTACATCTCTGTCACAGCTCCAGGCTGGACAACCTGGCATCCATCAGGGCATCCAAGTTCCCGTCACCCACAAGGGATGAACTTTGCCAGGTGACTCTGCTGTGCTGCACAGAGGACAGGACTTCCCTTTTCTGTGCCATTTCCTATGTGTGAGCTGTCTGGGGCCAGCCTAGTCCAGGGAGGAGCTTCTCTCAGTGTTCGGCTTGTGTGTGTTTCTGTGGCTCCTCAGAAGCAAGAGCACTGCTGGTCTGTGCTGGAGTTTGCTCTGAGACAGGCCTCACCCTGTAGCTCAGGCTGAACTTGGACTGGAGATTCTCCTGCCTCAGGCCCCCAGTACCTGGATTACAGGCATCCCACTATGCTGAGTTCTAGCTCTGGGTGTGGGGAACTGTGCTTTCTTGTTGTTTGTTTTTTGGTTTTTTGAGACAGGGTTTCTCTGGGTAGTTTTGGTGCCTGTCCTGGATGTCACTCTGTAGACCAGGCTGGCCTCGAACTCACAGAGATCCGCCTGGCTCTGGCTCCTGAGTGCTGGGATTAAAGGTGTGCACCACCACCGCCCGGCTGAACTGTGGTTTTTAGCAAGGTCTCCAGCGCTGTTTGTACTTTTCATCCGTGGGCTCTGGAAAGCCCGGGTGTGCACCTCGGTGTATTGGGGGCTGCTTGTGCCTTTGCTCATGTTCCACTTCCTGCTCCTTCCTCCCCTGGTGGCTGTGCCTGTGATGAGCTGGTGAAAGCTTGGGTCAGCACTTCCTTGTGGAGGCCTCCCCTTTAAGGGAAGAGGGGAAGCTGTTGTGCTGAGGGCTGCAGCCGGCGGGGTGGCTGCAGTGGCTGGCTGCAGTGGCTCCTAGGAGCCCCTGGGGCCTGGTTCGCCTGCCTGAGCTGTGCTCCTGCACGTGGGCAGCAGGCCTAGGAGTCGCAGTGCACAGGCCAGTAGGCCTACGGCCCGCCCCTCCCCCACCCCTGCCCCACTTTTATTTTTCTCCCCTCCGGGCCGGCAGGGATTTGGCAAAGGCCTCATTATGCCTGCTACTGGCTCTGCCACCGAAGCAGAGTGCCAAGCCGTGTCTACAGGGTTTTTTTTTTTCAGGTGCTGCAAACATGCCATACTTTTGAAAAGCCCGTTTTTGCGGTCCCCCAGACCACACCCACACAGTGATATAATCAAGATTATGGATTGGTGCAGTGTTATGAAGTCAGGAACCACAGGCTAGGCTATCTGCTGGATGGAAATGCTGCATTTCAGTACGTGGGTTGGGGGGAGGGGCTGTAAGCCCAGAAACCCAGATGTGGAAGCTGGACAATCAGGAGATGAAGGACAGTGAGGCTACCTAGGGAGGTAGAGGCCAGCCTGAGCTGCATCAGACACTGTTGTCAGCCAGAAGAAACACCACAAAGAAGACGCTGAGTTTTCTTGCACTTTCCGGTCTATGCACGGCGTTTTGGAAATGGCGTTCTGGAAAATGAAAGGATGCTGTTTGGTACCCATTCTCCTTCATCTTTCTCTCAGTTAGAGGAGAAGCTGTGAGCCGGGCTTCTTCCTTTCTTAGCTGGCCGCCCTACTGAAGCAGCGCTATTCCTATGCCGAGGGGTAGACACTGCAATCTGTGAGACAAGCAGCTTTTGTATCCAGAGCCTCACGCTGAACCAGCCGCAAGAGTTTGTGTGACTGCCACACGCCCTCCTTTGCACATCTCAGTCTGTAATTCCCGGCCTGGTGCAGCTAAATGCATGTGTCACTGAATGACCTAATTCCTTCCCCACTGCAACTTCTTCCTGTCAGGATGCCTGTGGCTCATTTTCTAATGTCATACACATGAAATCCCTGTGACCTGTGATGTTTGCTCTTAAATATGAGTGCCACAGAGGCACTTACTAAGTGTAAGCCTTCTGGTAGAGGCTGTTGTCAGTACCCAGAGAGGAGGTGACCTGTCATTTTTAAGCAGAATGTTGTTTATTATATGCAACAATTCATTATATCACCACTACTATTTAGTGGCATGTTTACATGCTTGTGTTCATATTATTTGTGAACAAAAATTCCTGAAATGAAGCTGTGTCTTGCTGTGAACAAAAAACTCCTGGAAGGGGATTCTGTGTCTTCAGAGAATGATGGACCAATTGGAATTTCAGTACTGTGGAGAGAGTGGAATTTTGTAGCTTCAGAGGCAAATTACTTTAGCCTTCTAGAACAGCCATTCCTGCTCTACTCTGTGTCTGAACTAACATCTTGTGGTAATAAATAAAAACCTATAGAAGCTATTAACTTAGTAGGACACTAGCTTCTGGCAATCCAAGACTGCCACCAGATAGTATCTTGGGCCTATAAATAGCTCCCCATCTCATTCCACTTGCCTCCCTGGGGTACTCATCAGTGTATTTTAAACTTGCCTTGATGTATGACCTTCTTTGTTCTGTATAACTATAAACCTTTCAGAAACTGGTTCCATTTCAGAAAATGGGATTTGGGCCATGTGGCAGTGGCACACACCTTTAATCCCAGCACTCAGGAGGCAGAGCCAGGGGGATCTCTGTGAGTTCGAGGTCAGCCTGGTCTACAGAGTGAGATCCAGGAAAGGTACAAAGCTATACAGAGAAACCCTGTCTCAAAAAACAAACAAACAAAAAATCCTATTTCTTTTAAGATGGGAGCGTCAAAGGATTAAATAATCCTTTTTAATTCTATTTTAGTAAAAGTTACTACTGCTATGATGAAACACCATAACCAAAACAACTTGGTGAGGAAAGGGTTTATTTGGCTTACACTTTCACATCACTGTTCATCACTGAAGGAAGCCAAGACAATAATTCAAACAGGGCAGGAACCTGGAGGCAGGAGCTGATGCTGAGGCCATGGAGGAGTGCTGCTTACTGGCTTGCTCCATGTGGATTGCTCAGCCTGCTTCTTTTTTTTTTTTTTTTTTATAGAACCCTAGTCTATCAGTCCAGGATACACACCAGGCACAGAACGTATCATATACCAGCATATACAGGCAGGTTGTTAGCTTCTGCCTATAAACCCAGTCCTGGGGAAGATTAAGCAGGAGGATTACCATGAATTTTGGGCCACCCTAGCCTACGTACAGTCCGGGAAGCAAAACAGGGCTGGGTATAAGGTGCTACGGTCCAGCTAAGCCCTGCTATAAGGAGCTTTGTAAACATATACAGACAAACACAAAACACTAAATGTAAAATCTGCAACCTTCATTGTACTGGTTATTAAACCAAGGGCTTCACACATCTTAGGCAAGCACTTTACCAATGAACTACATCTCTTGTTGTTTGTTTTTGAGAGACAGCGTTTTTCTATGTAGCCTTTGACTGTCCTGGAACTCACTCTGTAGACCACCTTAGGCTGCTAGGCTAGACCTCAAAGAGATCCTCCTGCCTCTGCCTCCTGAATGCTGGGATTAAAGTGATGTGTTAGCACACTCAGCCTGAGTGATATCTTTTAACTTAATTTGTTTTTAGAGACAGATTTTCTGTGTGTAACAGTCCCGGATATCCTAGAACTCACTCTGTAGAACAGGATGGTCTCCAACTCAGAAATCTGCCTCCCTCTGCCACCTGAATGCTAGGACTAAAGGCATGTACCACCACTGCCTGACTTTAACTTATTTTTTTTAACTTAAAATTTTAAGGCATCTTCTTACTGTTTCCCAGACTTCCTTTGTTTGGGTCTGTAGCCCAGGGAGGCCTTGCAGTAGCCATCCATCCTCTTGCCTTGGCCTCAGGAGTAGCTGGGATTACAGCATGTGCTACTAGGTGTACCTAAGACCTCAACTCTTAAAACTCCTAGGGAAGAGTCCTTGGCAAGGATTAGGGTTCGTGCATTGGAGGGGTGGGAGTTGTCTTGCTTTTGTACAGCGAACAAAATCGAAATCAGATTCTAAATTGACAGAAAATATTACTAGAATATATGTCATAAGAAGTTAATATCCAGAATATCTAAGGAAGTCAGACAACTAAGTCCAAAACAGAACTAAAGGAGCAACTTAATTAAAACATTAGTAAAGGGCTGAGCAGACACTTCTCACGAAATGACAGGTGTGTGGAAAGGGTCTCAGCAGCACTAATCATCAGAGAATGGCCACCTGAATCCACAGTTAGATATTAGCATCAAGGAAATGGGTGTGGAGTCCGAAGAAAATGACCACACAATCCAACGTCCTTCAGCAAAGCCAAATATTTTATTTCTACTGAAGGGTCCACCGTTCCACCAAGTCCAACAGGAGAGCGCACCCAGTGGGGCTCCATCCTGGTTCTTATTATTAGGGTAAAGGGGGTTCTGTGAATGTAAGTGGTCACATTCTCATGTGACTAGCTAATACAGAGAAACACTGTCTCGAAGGAGAAATGACTTGAGCACATTTTGTTTGTTTTCCCAGACAGGCTCTCACTGTGTTAGCTCTGGCTGTCTTTGAACTCACTATGTAGAGTCGGCTGGCCTTGAACTCACAGAGATCCACCTGCTTCTGCCTCCCAAATGCTGGGATTAAGGGCATGCGCCACTATATCTGGATTTTGAGCACATACTTTATTTCAAGAAGTGTTGACCCTGAAGGAATTTGAATTTCTGCCAAGTGGCTTCTTTACATTTTTTTAATGGAATTTTCTCTTATTGAATCCTTTGATAGAAAATTTCCCCTTCTTTTACAGTACATTTTTGCTCTTGTCTTCACATTGAATTAACATCGCCTGACTTGCCAATTCTGAGGTCTTCATCAGGAACCTTCTTTTGACATGATGGAAACATTTTATCAAGGACGGCATTTTTACATAGTCTTTGGACTAACAACTCTTGTATGTATGGGGTCATAGGACATCCAACTGTATTCCTAGGACAACAACAGGACTGAAGTCATTACCTTCTTTCACTTTCCAAGCCAATGTTTCCCAAGACTAGAAAAAGGGTCATTTATTCCTGAACTGTCATTGTGGGATAGAAACCCAAAGACCGCTCAGCACAAGCAGAGTCCTAATTGATAGTCTGTATTAAGTCAGTGAGTCTGTAGTCATATTAGCTATCGCCTCCCCCATATCTGTCTTCCTCAGTTCCAAGGTCCAGCAATGAGGGTGGTGGGGGTTGGACCATGACCCTGTATTCATACCAAACACAAGTCTTGGGAGGAGGTAGGGGCAGGGAGTGGAGGGGCTCAGGGCCAATGAAATCTTCATTTTAATGGGTCCATTGTCTGGAGACAGTCCGTTTGGTGTCATCATCTATGGCTTTGGTTTTCTTGACCTGGGTCTAGTGGATCCATGATGTAATGCCAGCTACCCTCATGGCCACAGGAGTGGAGAGAATCACCATGTAAGGGTCCTTTTCAAGTTGGTTTCAGGGCCCCTTTAGCTACCATTTGTGGTTGGGAACATAAGGGACTAGGATTTAGAAGACAGGTTTCCCCAGGTCATCTCATCCTGGAAAAGGATGAGCATGCATGCATGTCATCCCTAAGGTGTCTGATGTCCATCTGAGCAAGAGCTTGTGATCTCCCTGCCACACAAGAGTAACAATAGTACCTATTTAATGTGCTGACAGAATATTTGATCCATTC